CCCCCGCCCCAATCCCCACACACTGGATGAGTTTATGTGCCTATCCCAACTGATGTTTGGCTTGGCCATATGACTTAATTTGACCAATAGAATGATAGCAGGCATGACCAAGCAGAAAGCTCAAATGTGCATAGGTGGTTGGCTTGCCCTCTTGTACTCCTTCCATTCTCCATAAGAATATGCCCTGAAGAGCTGCTGGTCCAAGGTAAATAAAGCTCTGTAGAGCAGATCTGAACCCAACCTACTCCCTGGAGTTCAGCTTAGCTCAGTCAAGGTCAGTGGAACCCCAACCAAGCAAAAGCCCATGAGAAAAATAAATTCTTGTTGTTTAGGGGGGAAAAGAAGTTCAGTACCATAAGTAACATTTCCAAAACTTAATAGAAGATATAGCTCAAGACAGCACATGATTAACTGTCAGACAGATGGAAAAATCAATAATATATTCAGAGATTTATTCAGAGAAGGGAGAGATCATAACAGGCTGGTTTATTTTGTCAGGTTTTTTTTTTAATGCATTTCGCAAAAATCCACGTGAAATGAAAAATCTAATCAGAGGCACATAATGCATATTTTTAGGAGAAAGACATAAAACATTTCCTTTCAATTTCTAGACTAAAGCTTTAGAGTTTGAGATTGGCCTTACCATGATTGTGGCTGTAGCAGTAGCATATTCTCCACCTCCCCAACACTCTCCAATATTGGGACATCGAGCTTCCTCACACACCTGTGAGCAAAAGGGAACTGAATACAACCAGGTTGAAAATATTTACCAATTGAACAAATGAGTGACTAGGCATTTTACCTGTACATCTTTACAACATATTTATGAAGAAATTCACTATTTAAAAATGCTGTTAAGTTGCCAAACTGTATCTTTATTAAGTTAAAAACTATATGAATGTATACATTTTATATGTGCAAAGAAAAGGTTTGTAAGGATATATATTGATCAGTTACCAAAGTGGTATAGTTAACATTTGGGATTATGTATATGATGTTTCAAATTTATCTTCATACTCTTTCCTACAAGCATATTCTTAACTTGTAATATAAAACAAACAAACCTGCATTTCCTAAGATGCAGGAAAATCTTTTTTTTCCCCTACTATTAAATGAGAAGCTAAGAAATCCGTGACCTCCCCAGGATTTTTGCCTGCCGGTCTCCGATAGATGTGACACCCGGGGCAGGGTAGTTTGGGCGGAAAGTGGCCCTGCTCAGGTCTCTGGTTATCCCGAGTGTTTGTGTTTCAGAGGGAGAGACAGAGAGAAACATCGATGTGAGAGAAACACATTGATTGGTTGCCTCCTGCATGAGCCTGACCAGGGCCCGGGCTGGGGAGCCTGCAACTGAGGTACATGCCCTTGACTGGAATCGAATCCGGGACCCTTTGGCCCGCAGCTGATGCTCTATCCACTGAGCCAAACCAGCTAGGGCTTCAATTACTTTTTGTTTCTTTTGTAAGGAAAATAATTTTTATATTTATTTCCATTATTAATAGTAATGTATCCTAAACACTTTACTTAGTGTTATTGCTCTGTAGTTAATTAATTTTTAAGTTAGACATGTAGAAAATGTATGGCTTTTGGTTAAGAGAAATATTTAACACTTTGACAACTTACTGTATGGAGATTTAAATTCCGCAAAGTATTTTTCAGCTTATTGTAATTTTTCCCCATGGGAATCTCTGTCTTTAGCCATGGAGGTAGTCTTAACCTGAGGAAAATGAAAACTATCCATTAACAAACTTATCCCCAAATAATCATACAGCTTTGATCTATTAATTCATCTAGTAATCATATGTTGATCTATTAATTCCTGGTTAAGATGTTCCCCCACCCCATTATTCTAAATTAACTTGTAATTTTTGCCATAGAAGAAAGAACAGAGATTCAAATTTAGGCTTGCTCACACACTTTAGGAAACACTGATATTGGTGTCTAATAGGGCACTATACTCATGCCTATCATTTGCAAAGGCACAGAATAACACCATCCTAACAAAAAATAATGAGCAAGTTTTGAACATCTCATTTCCCAATGAAAAAATTCTATATTTTTTCAGATTAAGGAGGATTTTCTGCTGTACTTTATATTCTTGATTTTTATGTTGATTATTAAATGAGAAAAATCTGAAATTTGGAGTGAAGACTATGTATCCTCAGATTCCTCTTGACTTCCACCCACTTGGGATCTAGAAGTTGTTGGGTAAAATATCAGTAAAACAATTTGTCCTCTGCATGAAATCCCCTCCCCATTCTTTTAAATTAAGTCAAGATATCCATAGGTCATATGTACATAGACTTCGAGAAGCACAAGTTAGATCATAAACACCCAATTACAGTGAAAAATTTAACAAGGTCTAATAGATTAGTAGTAAGGTAATAACCTTCACTTTCTGAAGAAATTTGATGATGAATAGAAAAAAGGAGATGGAGGTGTAGGACGGTTCATCCTAGAAAGGTTGAAGGAAAATTATCAAAGAGCACAGAGAAAAGCATTTCAACAATTTCACCTACTTACCTATTCTATGTCTGTTATCACTTCCTTTTAATGATTTTAAGCTAAATTTAACAAAAAATATACTCTAAGGTTTGGTTATATCTTAGAATAATGCAAGATGAAGGAATTGGACATTAAAATGATCTCAAAATTTCAATTACCTTTCTCCTTTCTGGCGCTTTAAGTTTCCTTTATATTCATCCCAGGTGCTCTTGTCGGCAAGATCACCAGACACAAAATCTTGAAGGTCTGGTCCATTTTGTAAAAATTCCTTTTTTTTATCTGGCAAGGAACTTACTGCTCTGACTGGACTGCACAAATATTTTCCAAATACCTAAAGAGTTCGTTATGACATTTATTTAGTGGGGTTTGGAATAATTTACTTACCATTTAATACCCCCTCTCCCCACCCGCCTGCAGATACCAAAATTTGAGGATGCTCACATCCCCTGTATAAAACGTACTGGATCAACGTGTACAATCCTACCTTCCCATCGGGATTCCCAAATGCAGACAGGGAAAAACCCACCGTATTAGTGGGCTTTTGCAGTTCAGACCCTTGTTGTTCAAGGGTCAACTATACCATTTGTTGACCATAAGAAACCACTAGCTTCTAGATGTGAATACGAACGTGACAAGATAGCCCAAATACTGCAAAAGTCATTAGTCAGTACATCTAACGCAAGAGAATCTTCAACAA